AAAGTACAACGTCGCTGGTAAGGGAGAGCGCTCAGAGCACTTTGTGTAATTAGACATCTCTTGTTGGGTGCAAATAGCTACTGATGCCTCCGAGGCAGTTCCTCTGCAAATCTTGTAGTTGCGTGTGCTGTCCACTGGGTGGTGACAGAGACCTGAATAAGAACAAGGATGGGCAGGCTGGAAAGGATTTAAGAGGGTCCCTTTCCTTTATCTTTTGAGGGGAGTTAGGTATTCATCTTTTGGCCTTTTCTTTAAAGAAAAAAGAGTGAATAGAAATTGATGCTATTATTCTAAATTGTTAGAGCTGCCATAAAAGTACAGTACTTGCCACTTACGTGACTGAACATTGGTGAAAAATATCATGAATGTGTTATCTTCATGCAAGCCTCCCCTGGTAAATCTCATAGGAAGCTGGGGCTGCCTTCCTTGGAGCACTAATTCTTCAGCTCTTGCTTATTCAAGCGGAGGAAAGAGAGGATGAAGTTTTAGACATGAAGCTGAGTAAAAGTATTAGTGGAGTGAGTAACATTATAGTGTTCGTTGAATAGAAGTCCAGGCTGAAGCCTGGATAACAAATATTAAAATACTGATAGCTATCTGTTCAACATTCTTTATGCTTAAATCGCTCAGTTGCATTTAGTTACTTACAGGTCAAAGAAGATAGTTAAACGAAAGTCAGAGTGTAGCAGTATTTGTGTATGCCCGTGGGTGTGTGTGTATAGACCCAATACGTTGTATTGGCTCTAAGAAGAGATTATACCAAAATGGTTAATGCTATATTTGGATCTACTTTTAAAGGAAAAAGGCAGAGAATATCCATTAGCATAGAAACTATTTCTAATGTACCATTTCTTTGTGTGGTGTCGACACTGTATTGTGAATGTTGAGTAAGTAATCTTCAAAGAGAACACCTTTATAAAGGGGTCAAGTAGACTTTTCCTCTTGATTTCATGATTACCAAGATTGGAGTGGGAAGTAGGAGTTTCATGAGGCCACGGTGTGACTGAGAGACTGGCTGACCGATGAGAGAGAGCACAGTAGGTGTTCCGGACGCCCATTGTACTGGGGAGCACCCTCTGCGAGGGGAGATCACGGTGGTGGTCAGCCTTTGAAACACTGCTCAATCAAAACAGTGTGTACAGGACGCAGAAAAAATGTAGTTCCACTTTTAAAAAGAACAAAGGTTCGATTATATAAAACCTCAGGCAGGTAGGTGTGATGTCTGTCTAAGGCAAAAAAAATCAGTAAATTAGTTCATTGAAAAATGGAGTTTTGAGCCCTTGGAAATCAAAGGAAGTGATCCCTCATTATGGCTCCACGAAGGATGCCATGCCTGACTAATCTGAGTTTGATTTTGTTGCACTTGTTCATCTAGGGCTGGGATGTAGCTCAGTGGCGGAGTGCTTTCCTTTGATGTGCAAAGCCCTAGGCTCAATCCCCACTACCACAAAAAATGATCGAAAATTTTAAAAAGATGGCTCATTTAGTGAGTCAGATAAAAGCTATCAGCTTAGCACATTTAGGTAAAAGTAGATCATATGACAGTCTTACGATACTTTGGGAAATAAGCTGAAAATATCGCTTACAATTTGTACACCAAACCGCAGGTTAGTAATCATCTGTCTATTAAAACACATTCTGTACCTTAAAACTTCTTTATTATGCATATCATGCATGTTTATAGTAGAAAAACTTACGTAGTAGTTAAGCGAAAACAATGAACTGATAGGTTTTTAGCAACTACTAGTATTTATTCCTTACAGTCATTTATGTAAATGTATATAGGCTTATGCCCTGTGTGATACTCATAATAAATGGGATTGTACTGCAGATACTGTTCATAACTTGAGTTTTTACTTGTTAAAATATATTAGTATAACAAATGACTGCTACAGGCTTACTTTATTTTCCATAATTTATTTCACCATATTTTTATTTCATAATTTTTAATTTCATAAAACGTATACACAACATGATTTTTTCCTAAAACAATTCAGTTTTGAATATGCTTTTTATTTTTTTATTTTTTATTAGTACATTTGTAGTACGTAATTTTTACTTTTATCATGGGGACTTGGAACATCTTAATTATTTTGTTCATCCCCTTCCCTTCTGCAAAAGATCTATCTCCCTGTTTCCTGTTATCTTTTAACTTGCTTTTATTTATATTTTCAGTTTCTCATATAGGTTATGAAATATTTAAGTTTGTGTGTCTGAGTTATTTCATTTAATAGTGTCATCTCAGAGCACATCCATTTTCCTACAGATTGCTTGAATTTATCCTTCTTTATGGCAGAGTAGTACTCCACTGTGTATAAATACCACATTTGCAGTTTTGAATATCCTAATAGCAAATATTTTGCATATGCCTTAATTATTAGAATAAATTTCCAGAGATGATTATAATATGTACTGTCAAATTTGAGAGCTTGTTTTGCTAAATCCCCAACAGTGAAATATATCAATTTTTGAAGTATTTTAGTTGCATTTCCCTGATAAACTTCTTTTACATTGGCTTGCTTGCTTTTTTTTGGTTCACATCCTTTGTTTAACTTTCTATATAAGGGTACTTCATTTTTCTTACTGATTTTTAAGAGTTTAATATATTTTAGGAAATGAAGGTGATCTATTTTTGATCCTATTCCATTTACTGTTTGTTATGAATCACTCAGAAGAAAGACTGATTAGCATGGTGTTTATATTTATGGATGGCATTGCATGGGGAGGTATAGTTAGTACTAAATTCCAGGGAGATCTGTGATTGAAATGATGAGTCAAAATAAGGAAAACCAGGGTAAGAATTAATAAGAAGCACTTCTACCTTGTCTGAAAACAACTACTAGTTATTAGACTTTTTCTTGTATGTTAACTGCAGTCATCACAGCAGATCTACAAAATAGATATTACTACTTTCATTTGTAAGTGAGAAATCTGAGACAGGGAGAGGTTATATTAACTTGTCCAAGTTCTAAGTAGTGTAGAGCCTGGATGCAGACACAAGTTCTTTGTCCCTGTTGGCCCTTAGTCTCTGTATGCCTTGGAGCTATACAGCTTAGCAATGTTTCAGAAATAATGTCTGGAAAGGTCAGCTAGACAACATAAGGGCCAGAACAGCCAATCCATTTTCCTCTACAGTGTTTCAGATAAGGAATTAATTGCCCATTCTATTCTGTTTTAGTTAATTAAAGTCTAGAATATTGCTTAAATTCTGGTAAATTCTGAATTACCACTGAGATGGAGCTCAGTGGGTAAAACATTTGCCTAACATGCACTATGCTTTCATTTCAATCCCCAACACTTCAAAAAAGTCGGGGGAAAGTCACCATTTCATTTTTATCATTGTTAGTACGTCGCTAGAGCTGAGTGTCTATAGAAGGCACTTTGGAAGTAACATTAGGTTGACCATTCCTAGCAATAAGCTGGGGACCACAAGACACAGAAAACGCATGCAGGAATCTGGGAAAAAGGAACTGTAGATGCCCCTTGGAGGGGCCTACTGCCTAGGTCCACCTTTCACATTTTCTTTGTTTAGTTGTATTTTTGATGTGATTAAATAAAATAAATTTGAATTATTATAGTTGATTTCATTTACATTGTTGGCATTAAAAGTGCTAGAACCATGAGACCAGATGATCATAAATAATAAAACATGACTTTTTGCTAACAGGAAATGCTTTCAATAGGATTTGTTTTTTATTCAAATAAGCGAATTTTGAGATTTAAGATATAGACCTAAGGATAGTTACCCTCACCCACTTTCGGGGGGACGGAGCGATACGCACAGCAGCATTGGGAACGACCGCCGTGCGACATTCCAGGGACGCACACTCGGCAGTGCTTCAGCTTCACATCTGTTCTACTTTTGTTTTTGTTTGAATCTGCCGTGGAGGATTTTTTTAAAAAACATTTAACGTAATTTCATATGAATTGCAAGTTGGTGGCTTTCTGCAGGCTGCCGAAATCAGTGAGTGGAGAAGGGGGATTTTGTCCTATGACGGCACATCTTGCAGACACAACGGGGCCGTTCCTTAGTGCCACCATTTCCTTTGCTTTGAAATGGTGTCCTTTTACCAAGTTCCTGCTTGCCAACCTGAGAATGATATTTTGATAATTAGCAGTTATTAATAGCTAATAGAAATCAACCAGCTATTGAGTTAGCCGGTTAGATCACTGTGTTCTGCCCTCACAAAGTTTTAAGAGAGAGAGGTCCAAAGGAAGGTTCATACATTGTTTTTCTTCTTCATAGGTTCTTTTGTTGCAGTGTAGGGGATTAAACCCAGAACCTTACTCATGCTAGACTCGCTGAGTCACACAACTAACCCCTCTGTTACACTGTTTTTATTCTTTTTGGTACCGGTGATCGAACTTGGGACCTTGCACTTGCAAGGCAGGTGGCAGAACCACTGAGCTGAATTCCCAGCCCTTATTACATTGTTTTTCAATCTTAATAATTTGTGTTTGTTGGGGTTACTTGCTAATAGAGAAGAATGAATTTATGTATTTATCTGGAACTAAACTGATAATTATTTATAGGGATAATTAAAAGATCTTTTGGGAAGTCCTAGATAAGCTTTATTTGTAATGCTTATTCGCTTTAACCCAATGAGTGAAGTACTTATGAATGTTCTTGGCGTGGGCTCCACGTCAGGTTTCTTCACTCCGTGTATTTCCTGTGAGGACCAGTTAGAAACTAATGGAAATGCTTTAGTAGTTTCACACGTAATGTTCAAAACCAAAGAAAATTTTCACAATGACAAGAAGTTTAGAGTTTGGGTTAGCACTTAAATCAACTTTTCCATATATCACACTTTGTTTTGTTGTTACCAGGGATTGAACTTGGGACCTTGCGCTTGTAGGCAGGTGGCGGAACCGCTGAGCTAAATCCCCTGCCTCACACAGTTTTACAGAAAGATACAAGAGCGTTGTTGCCCCTTCCTCACATTCACACACTGATGCTGTGTACAGCCTGCTCATGTCTCACTTGTCGCCTCTCCCTCTAGGTAAGGAGGATGAATATCCAAAGAAGCCGTTGGGGCAGCTTCCACCTGAGTGTCTTTCTGGCGGTATTAATCACATGAGCAACGGGCAGAGAAGTGTTGGCAGGCCCAGTCCCCGTATGAACAGCAGGACAGGAAGTGGCTCCTCACCTCACAGAAAGCACGAGCACTCCCCCCACCGTCCGAATAAAACTGGTACTCCAGAACGAGTGAGGCAGCTCAGGCGGAAATCGGTGGATGAAGACAGTAAAAATCTTAAAGACGAGGAGAATTTTCAAAGAAAACTTTCATCAGGTCCACAAGACAATTCCAGGCACTATAACCATGCAGCTGCTAACCAAAATAGCAATGCTACTTCAAATATCAGGAAGGAATTCATGCCCAAATGGAATAAACCATCAGATAGTTCGGCTGTTGAAAGAACTGCCAAATACGTCACTGAAGGCAAAAGCAGATTGGTGCACCCCGCACTTACAGCCGCCTCTCCAAGTTCTGCCGATGCTCGGATAGCAAACGCAAGGCAGAAGATGAAGGTTTGGGATGGTGATGCCGGGAAGCGGGGCTCTAATGCCTCTCAATATGATAACGTTCCTGGGAGTGAGAATGAAAACGGAGCTTCTGTTGAAGAGGCACTGGAGAGGGCTTACTCTCAAAGTCCAAGGAACGCCATTTACCCCAGCAGCCCAAGAAAGCACGCTGAGCCAGGGCCTAGTCCACCAAAAGTACCCAACAAGTTTACTTTTAAAGTACAGCCTCTGAGCTATGGAAAATATCCATCTCAGTTAGAAGGGGAAGATCGAGGGACCATGCATCCTCCGTCGTACAGCAATCCTCCCGTTTACCATGGAAGTTCTCCGAAACATATCCCCTCTGCTAACAGCTTTGTGTCTCCACAGATTAGTCCTGGAACTCAAATGAATCCTTCCAGGAGACCTTACGGCTCTACCCTTTCAGTTGATACTTCTCCAGAGAAATCTTACAGTCGCCCGGCCCCTCTTGTACTACCATCTAGTCGAATAGAAGTCCTTCCTGTTGATATTGGTGCTGGGGGATACTCGGGCAATTCAGGGTCGCCAAAGGATGGTAAATTTATCATTCCTCCAGTAGATTATCTTCCGGATAACAGGAAATGGGCAGAAGTTGGTTATACATACAGATCGGAGGTGCACGGACAATCATGGACTCGAGATCCTAACCGTAGCCACTTAAGCAATTTACCAAAATATCCAGCCTTTCAACGCGTACCCTTTCAGGACCATAACCTCCCAGCAGTTTCAGTCGATAGCCCAGTGCGATGTAAAACTTCACCAGCTATAGAAGATGCCAGTCCAGCTGGGTATCAGTATGCGGGGCCCTCGCCTCCAGCTTATCATTATAGAAATCGCGAGGGGCTTTCTGTTCAAGAGCCAGTATTGCTGTGAGAGTTTATCCTTATGAGAAACGAGAATAGAAACTGTATGAAACCTGCATTGCTATGTTTTAATTGCCAAAGCAGTATTTTATATTATTGTAAACAACTCACACAGTTCTAATGTATATTAGTAATAAGAATATTTAGAAATGTTTTCATCCCCACGCAGATGCTGCTTAAGATGAGCATTTTAAATTGCATCATCACTGAACCTCTTAAAAATTTAACCTGGAAACAGCAATAGCATTTAGGGATGCACTCAGTGATGATTCTTTACTCAGTTTCATTTATATCTTTCTCAAAACCTGGACATTTTCATGCTGTTGGCCCATTCTATTTTGACTAGTGTTATAAAGTGCTGAAAAACTGTTGAACAGGTATTTTTAAGGCTCTATGTGGTGTATGTGTCTTTTAATAGATATTGTAGTCATCCGTGCATACACATTTGAGCACAAAATTGAAGAAATGTTTTTTAAAACTATATTCAGTCTTTCCATGAAATAATGTTATACTTCTTTTCCTTATCTTTTAGTCCAGTGTTTCCCCTTCGTGTTTTTAACCTAATTCCTAACCTCATTAAAAATTTGCCCGACTTTATTAATACATCTCACCAGAAGCTCATCATTCTCTTTCAGCTGCTGGCATTTTCCTTCTGTCTAAAAATTAAAGACATTGGAGAAAAAAGTTGACCATGCAATGGTGCTTAAACACTGGGGCCAAAGGAGTGGCACTTACTGTATCTGTACCACAGGTCAGTCTTAGTGCTTCCGCGCTGTTTGCTGTGGTCCGACTTCCACAGCTCCAAGCGGACTGCTCCGTGGTGGGAGTCAGGGAAGCGCTGCGGCAGCACAGCTCTCTAGGGTCTGCAGGAGAAGCCACACTGACTGTGCAGCTCGCAGGAGAAGTTCGTGTCCGAGCAGGGCTGGTGGTGTGGTCCCTTTTCACTCTGACCCTCCATTCTTTCAGGGTCTCCCTCCATGGCCCGGCGTAGTTGTTACATGATCTGTTTCTGACATTCTTTCTTTAAAAATGTAGTTAACATGACGTTGCTGCTGGTACCAGGCCTTCACATTAGCTTTTACATTATTTATCCATGTTAAAATTGTATAAAAAAATTTATCCTGATTGTTATTAGGAGTCTAGAATTTTAATCCTTTTTAAAAATACAGTGTGACTTTTATACTTTCAAAAGTCTTTTTTCAGTGAAAAAAATTCAGGTTCGTGGTAAAAGCAGTGATGTCTTTAAAAATATTCTGTTACACTACAATTACCAAACACTGACAAAATGTTGGGCACTGCACAAAAGTAAAATATTGTATTTAAGTGGAGTGCTTGTTTTCAACATCACTTTGCTCATATTTGCATAACAGAAAATAGATGATCTGGGCCAGGGATTCAGCTCATTGGTGCCGCTGCCTGCCTCACAAGCACAAGGTCCTGAGTTTGATCCCTGGTACCAATGAAAAAAAAAAAAAAAAAAAAAAAATACAA